GAAGAGTGCCAGGAACCACCCCTGGATCTGCAGCCAGAGCACAAGGAACCTCCTGCTTCAGGGAACAAGTCAGAGTAAAAAGGGGAAAAGCAAACAGCCTGATTATGTGAAAGTAGAGCTTTAAGCCCTCACAGAACTGCAGAAGCCTCAGGAATTGCAGAGCAGACAGGAAAAGTTAACCTTTACCAGGGGAAAAAAAAAGAAAACCCATCTTTTGTAACCAAGTCTGTCAGAAATTTGAGCATCTGCAGCCACATTTGCAGTGCAAATGCTCACCTCTGGTCAACACATTCCTGAAAACAATTTCTGAAGTATACACAGTATAGATACTATCCATTTTTCTTTTGAGCTGGAAAGACTTAAAAACTACCCACAGGAACAGAGATGTTTGTTCCTGACTGATGTATTTTCTCTTCTGTAAACTTCTTGCATGAAAAACTTCTAGTCGTGTATCGTTGCTAACATCAAATATTTATTGTTATTTAAAAATAAACATGCAGAAAGCCATCCCCTTTAAAACAACACGTAAAATAACCCAGTGGAGATCTCAGAGAGAAGCACCAGCCCTGTAAGGAATGGATTTGTCCAAAAACCTCCAGCAGAGATGTATTTTCTGTGGGAGTCCCCTCTCCGGCCACACCGTGCGTGGGGAAGAGTCCTGCCCGAGTCAATCACATCACAGAGCACTTGCCTTGCAGTTTATCTTTCTTCTTCTGCTGCTTGCCTTTCTTCCCATCCACCTGCAGACTGACAGTTCTCCTCTTCTCCAGATTCAGGAGCTCCTGGAAGAGCTCCTGGACGTTGTAGTTCATTTTGGCCGAGGTCTCCATGAAGGAGCACTTCCACTTGCTGGCCAACGCTTGCCCCTCGCTGGCATCCAGCTCCCGCTGGGTGTCGTCGCTTTTGTTCCCCACCAACATGATGGGGATTTTTCGGACGTCCTCTTTAATCTGGCAAATCTGTTCGAAGATGGGCCGAAGATCTTCCATGGACTGCCTGCTGGTGACCGAGTAGACCAAGATGAAAGCGTGCCCTTTGGAGATGGACAGCCTCTGCATGGCAGGGAACTGGTGGCTGCCCGTGGTGTCTGTGATCTGGAGGGTGCAGATGCTCTTGTCGCAGCTGATGACCTGCCGGTAGGTGTCCTCGATGGTGGGGACATAGGTTTCCCTGAAAGTTCCCCTTACAAAACGAAGGACCAAGGAGCTTTTGCCGACGCCTGCCGCTCCAAACACCACCACCCTGTAGTCGTTGCTTTGTTCAGGCATCTTTGCAACGCCGTGAGGCTCGCCAAGATTTTAAAGGGACAAAAAAACACCCGGGTTTCTTCCAGTTTACACACCCCTTTACAGAGCTGGCCTGCGGAGAAGGGAGGGGGGACAAGAGACAGAGAGGAAGAAAGAGAAACGGTTCGCACCATCTCGGTAATTTCACGGTGCGTGACGGAAGCAGGCGGTTGAGTAAGTCACTCCCCTCCCATCCTTTCTTCTAGCGTTAAAGGGAGAGGCAGAGAAATAAAGACAGAGCTACAGAAAGAGGCGAGGGGAAGCCAGGGCCCCCCAGCCCAGGCACGGCTCCCAGCGCACTCACCGTGAGGAGGAATCCACCTGTAGCCATCAA